AAGAATAATATAGAATAGCTGCCAATCTGTTTTACATACCGTCTGTATTTTTAAATAATCCCACCAACAGTATAAGAAGATTATAATTTTTCTGGTTTTCTTCATCACTTGTTTTTGGTTGTCTTTTTGACTTCAGCTGTCCTAGTATGAAAGTGGTATTTTGTTGTTATGATTTTCATTGTCCCATCTCTCACCTGGATTATTAATTTTTCCTCTATTATTCTAATGAACTGACAAACTTGCAATTGTTTCATTTTAAAAATAAAAACAAAACTCTTTAAAATGTTTTTCTTCTTACAAAAAGATAGCTGTGAAATAATAATTGCTTGTTTTTTCTTAAAGTGTAAGAATTAATGGGATCTAAGGAATTGCAGAAATAGATGGTCACATCAGGAGCATCTAAAAGTTATTTTCAGGAAAATAAATGTAAACTTAAAATTTCTGATTAAATAATTCTTACAACTACTTGAGGACTACCACCCTCTCTCCTTCAGTGGAGAAGTATGACCTGCTATTGCAAATCATTTAATCCACTGCTATAAATACCTTAGAATAGTGATGGTGAATCTTTTAGAGACCGAGTGCCCAAACTGCACCCCCAAACCCACTTATTTATCTCAAAGTGCCAACACTGCAATCAAACCTGAATATTGAGCTTTTAGTTTAGAAAAAACAACTCATACATTAATATGTTTTGTTTTAAAAGAAAAGCACAATAACAGCTTTCAATGATAGAGCTTTTTGTTGAAAGGTAAAAGTTTACATTTTGTGTGCATTTGTGTCCTGTTACCCAGTGCTCACTGCTGAGGCGATGCTGGGGCAACTTGGCACGCGTTGAGAGGGCTCTGTGAGTCCACTGTGGCACGGTTGCCATAGGTTTGCCACCACTGCCTTAGAACATAACTTTGAATAGCAAGCTTCTGGGTGGAAAGTTTAGGGGTGGAGTGAGGCACATACCCACAAAAACAAACACAAAAATTGACAATAAAATTCCTCAAATAAAGACAGAGGTCTTTCAAAAAGTACAGTACCTGGACTAGAAAGGCTAGGAGATCATAAAATATTAAATACAACTGGATGATCAGGGGAAAGGAGAAGGGGGAGGGGAGAAAAGAGGATAAAAATGTTAAATATATATACTGATTGCCCAGTAATATAAACATCATGTATTATAAACATATACCAATAAAAAAATGAAAAAAATACATATATCTAGGACCCAATTTGTTGGTATATGACAGTGGTGGTCAACCTATTGCAAGTGTGCTATGGTGGGCTGTTTGTTATCATTAAAAGCTCTAAAAGGTTCACCATCATTGCTGTGGGATAACTAGTTTAACTCTTATTTTTGTATTTATATAGACAAAGTTAGCACTGCTACATAATAACTACCAGTCTAAGATCTACCTTATTAGGCTGAAACTACTACACCAAAATTTTCCATTAAGGCTATGCATACTGCATCTATGCAGGTATAAGAAGCTTATCATACACATGTACTAAATCTGCTAGCCCTAGTGAGTTAACTTCCAAGTCTTATTTATGTCTCTATATCTTTTCTTTTTCTTAATTTTAGTTTATGAGTGTAGTACGTAATGGTTAGTTACATTCCTTGTGGGACTGTGTTCTTCAACAGTTTTTCTATTGGGCAAAACACATTAAACATCTCAACATATTTGTACCTGGTTTTGTTTACCCAATATATATGTGCATTGAAACAGATGAAAACCACCGAACAAGTGAACATGATGGGAATTAGAGGGTATATAAAACACAGATGTGCAGATTTTATCAGGATCCACCTCATAAGTCTGTAGTATAGGCTACAGGTCCCAGATCAGCCCCCTCGCCCCATCTTTTACCTGTATTCTTGAACCCTACAGCAGGGGCAATGTTTTGACTTCTGTACTCCTCAAAATGAGTCTATATTTGAGGTTGCAAATTGAATGTGGTTTGAAACCGATAATGCAGCAAGCTTACCCTGATAAATTTGTATTATGAGTATCTTTAGGATTTATTTTTGTAACATTTTCTTTTTTCTTTTGCCATATTGGGGATTGAATCTAAGACCTTTACCACTGAACTTCACCCCTAGATTTTTTGGTAACTTTTAAACAGAGAAAACAACACTGTCCTTGGGGAAAGATGAGGATTTGAGAAGGTAGGCCCTGGGAAAAAAATAGTGCATGTGGAATTGATTGCACGTGGAATTGATTGGCCTGGCCAGGAATAACAGGCACTGCCACATGATCCCCGAGAACCCTGAGGTTTGGCACAGCAGTTCACGTGTCATGCAGACAGAATTGCTGTAGATCCAAGTCATGAAACTCTTCTAGCTCATCATGAAACAAGTCTCATTTGTCAGAGACCTACAGGTCATCTTTTTTTACCTGCACATAGGGTATAAGCAATAGTGTTGCTCAAAAATGTAAACTGTTTTTTCATTGTTCTTGAAAGAGTACACTGTTCTTTTCTCTTAGAGAGCTCTGAGAACTGGTTCTTTCTTGGAGCCAGAATCTTGTTGATGTTCCTGAATTCTGTCTTGGTGGCTCCCGTATAGAGCTGTGAGAATATACAAGCTTGTAAAAATAATTCTCTCCACATGGGCAGCTTTATGTCTTTTATAAAAATCCCTACAACCCTTGTTCCTCATTGCTGTCTTGTATTTCTGAATAAATTTCTGCTGCTGTCTAGAAATTCCACTTGGTATTTGACTTGGAATAACAGAGTTAAACATCATCCTGCATTCTGGGCTTTCCAGTTGCTTCCTACTTCTCTGTGCATGAACACACTTGAGAGAACATGTGGTTGCAGTTGGAGAACATCTCACAGCAGCCTTTCATATGTTTAGAGAGTTAGCATCATTCTCTTAGTGTCTTGTCTTATGCTTTCGAAATGAAAAAATCAGATTTTTTTCTCTTGAGACATTTTAGCTCCTTTGGGCCTATGGAATGCTATTGAAGGGTTTTATGCAAACTGTTTTCAAATGGTCATGGACCCACTCTGTGAACCAGCTGCCAAAGAATTACTTGAAAATTTTATGAGTAAGATTCTCATACTGCATATTGGGTATCAGGGTTAGCAATTTCAATATATTTTTGTTCTGTTTTGTTTTTGTTTATTTTAGGAGACTAGAGATTGAACCTGTGGCCTTGTGCATACCAGGCATGCACTCTACCACTGAGCTTCACCCAACCAATATCCTAATAATAGAAAGTATATTTTATTAAAAGAATTACTGTAAATCCAACTTTACTTACCTTGAATAGTAATTTAGTTCTGAATAAACTGAGCTTGTATTACTGGTGGGTCAAATGTGGAATTAGTGGGTTTGTCTTAGGCACTGTTCTCATTTTATGTGTGAATAAACTTTTTCAGACACCTTAGAAGTAAAGATTTTATTATTTCATTGTCACTGCACGCAGTATAAGCATCTTTCTTAATTTTGCTTTATAATTTTACAGGGTAAAATGTCATCTGGTTTAGTTCTCATTGCTTTAAGTCATTACATTTTCTCAGATGTTTAACCTAGAAATGGTTCAGTGAAATCCTTTTATCCTGGTTTGTTTTGTAGATTTGAAATAAGGGGACTTCAGAGGCTGTAAAACATGCATATGACTTTATAAAATTCCTAGCTTCTCTAAGTCTTTAAAATTTTTAAATTATGTACAAGTAATATTCTGTAAAATAATTTCAAGACTTTGCATGAAAGCAAGGTAAGCTACAGTTTCCTCAGAATTTTTATTCATTAACATTTTCTTATTAAGAATGGAAAAATACTACTGCTCTTTGCAAAGATATTGAGACATTTAACAAAGCCCTTTAAATAAACGAGATTAGAAAACTTACGTATTTGATTCCAGAAACTATCATACTGAAGGAATACTCTTTTCCTTTCAGCTATTTTTCTTTTTGCAATAAATCGACTATGTATAGGCCTCTATACTGACATTCTAATAGTAATAGAATTTTAAAATTAATTATTCTTTGATCCTAGTTGTTGTCCTAGGGAAGTATTTTATCTTTAAAAAGTTGATTATCTTAGTTTGGACACATTTCATATGACAGCTTAAGACCTTGATCTTGGTAGTAAGATGGTCATGTTAATTTCAGTATTTTAATCAAATGGCTGTGTGGCAACTGAATGAGGTGTTGTCTTCCCTACATTTGCAATAGTAGAGGGAGGGGTTTTGTCTCTCTCCTATTTACTCACAACCTTTTGTCTATAAAGGAGTCTCAGCTTAGCACCAAAGACAAGTCTGAATTGGGTTTATTTCAAGAATTAACCTAATTTCTAACCCAATTAGAATTAGCGTACTTGGGATTTATTTCTAGAGTTAAACACTTTTCCGTAGCTGTTTGCTTATGAAACTGCACCAAGTAGGTATCTTGGTTACTCCCTTTTCTTGTGACTTACTCTGCATGTTGCCCCTTTTCTAATCTGTGCATCCTCTGCTTGTCTAGTTAGTCTCTTTTGCTTTTCATTTTTCTTCTAGCTTGAGAGTAGCTCTCTTAAGTCTGATTTGCTGTCGTGGTACTTTGGAATGGTAGCCAGCTGTCCTTTCTGGGTAGAAAAGAAATGAGCTGATCAAGGGGTGTAGTAGTTAAAATGGAGAAAGCTTAGCTGTTCCTTATTCCTTGTGTTAAATGTAATGAGTTTAGAGGATTATGATTATGTACAATCATCAGAATCTGGTAGATGGGACATCTGTTTTGCTTTCTACTCTTACGGAGAAATAGAATCTTTTCTTTATATAATGTGAAGATTTTTTTGTTCTACCTGTTATTGATGGTTTAATTTTTGAAATATATTTTCAAGAAATAGAGCATGTGGTTATTATAAAGGTATTGTAGGACTTGATACTTGTTATTAGTCTGAAAATATTTTTCTAACCATGGAAAGTAAGTTACTGTGAATATTTGGATTTTCATTTATTATTCTAGACTGTATTACTGTTATGTAGTATATTCAAATATTTTTGCTTTGATTTATTTCCTAGGTTGCACGTTTTCAAAAAATACCTAATGGTGAAAATGAGACAATGATTCCTGTATTGACATCCAAAAAAGCAAGTGAATTACCAGTCAGTGAAGTTGCAGGCATTCTCCAAGTAAGTGTGTGGTGGGGAGGAAGAGAGTAGATCATGTAAAATTAGTGTCATAAATCAGTACTGTCCAATAGAATTTTCTTCTATTATTCTGTGTAGTACAACATACTAGCTGTAAGTTAAGCATGACGTTAAGTTTGAATTGTAGTTAAATCTGACTGAGATAAACATGACTGAATGTTTCAGCTTGAAATGTGGCTACTGTGATAAGGGAACTGAATTTAATTTTGACTCACTTAAACAACTGCATGTGGCTAGTGGCTACTTGATTAGACTGTCTAGCTCTAGATCATACATGTTGCCAGAACTATTAGTGTGGTCTAAGTATTAGGTCAATTAGGAAATGAATCAATTTAATTAATAACATAGTAGAATTAAGAGTTTATCATTTTTTAACAAGGGTTTTTTAAGGTAAAGTAAATGTTAAGTTCAGGGACACAAATTTTAATTGTTTATGTAATTTATTTTCTTTGTAGTTTTAAAAACCACAGTCTACTAAAACATGAAGAAAATATTTTTAACTTTTCCTTCAGACATTCATATATTTTTGTGATACTAAAAACAGATATCCATTTTTGAGTTTTTAAAAAAATTTATAGTTTTAAAACTGCTTATTTTAAATATGCTTAAGTTTTGAAAGTGTTGATTATTAAACTCTTTTAGAAACCTGGCCGGGGAAGCCCGTCATTTTGGAGATGCAAGTAATTGCATGTTTAATGATAGTTAAAATAGAAAATCGTGAGAGACAGTGACTGAAAGATTTAGGTGGTGTTAGCATAGATGATGTTATGTTGTCCAAAGAGCAAGTTCATCTTAACTTCGTATTTATAGTAATTTGGGAAGCAAACATTTTTAGCCTGAAATGATTTTGCAACCTCTGAGCAAACAGTAATACCAACCTCAGGGTTTTGATAAACTTGGAGAACAAGGACGACATTTATGGCCCAGTGAATATTCTTTTGGAGAAACTAATTTTAGAAGCAACAACAATAAAAACAAAAAAGCTAATTAAGTTATAGTGATATTTTACTTTCTCTGAGTATTGTAGGTAGCTTGTATTCCTTTTTTCCCATAGGAAAAGGTAAGTTTAACCCTATTTTGTTGCTTATAAGGAATCAGTTGTTATAAGAAATCAATTTTATTTTTATAATTTACACAATATATTGCACTGATTTTTAGTGAACAGATAAAGTTACATTTTTACAAGTGCAACAGACACCACAGTTAAGACACAAACATCACAGATTTTTATCACTCCAAAGGGCTCCCACATGTTCCCTTGCAGTTCATTGTCATTCTTTTGTCACTGAGAAGCTCTTTCACCTTAGACTAATTTTCAACAGTTTTATAAAACTGACTTTCTATAAATGTGATCATACACTGTGTACTCCTTTGTGTTTTTCTTCTTTTGTTCTGTACTAACGTTTTTCAATAACTTATGCATAAAATCTAATAGGCTGATCTTCAGAATGGTCTAAACAAATGTGAAGTTAGTCATAGGCGAGCCTTCCATGGCTGGAATGAATTTGATATCAGTGAGGATGAGCCACTGTGGAAGAAGTATATTTCCCAGGTAACATACTTTTACTTCCTTCTCTGTGGTATAATGTACATGGACTTTTGTTACATAGTTGTTTACTTTTGTGAAGTTATTTATGGAGAAAAATAATTTAAAAAAATTTTTTATCTAAAAATTTCCATTTGTTAGGATTTACTACTGTTAGGTTAGAATTCCTGTAATTTTTAGTTTGTTTTTCTATGTTAATAGATCACATAAGGGTGAAACTATTACCAGTGATTTCCTTTGCAGATATTGAATTTATACTTTTTAGATTATAAGAATGCTAAGTTTTTTTAGTAAGCATGACCAGGTTAGAAAATTAGTAAATTTGATAATTTAGACTCTTGACTTTGCCCAGGTGTAAATTACACTTCATTTCTTATCAGGTATATGGTCTTATCCTTTCCTATTATAAAATGGTGATAACCTAAGGAGATAGCACACAACAGATGAGAGCTCTATGTGATTATCATTATTTTACTATTTTAGTAAAGGCTTATTGCACAATTTTTTTCTTATTTTAATAACAATTATGTTAGTGTCAGAAGTTGTAAGACCCTATGGGTTGTAGGGTTGGTTTTTAAAAGAAAATTTCTGACTTTTAACCTGCGAGTTCTTTTTTTAGAAAGATCTGTGTCTAACTGCAGAAGAGCCTTGCCTGCTAGTGAGCTTGCATTGAATAATCTTAACTTTGCAAATGCAGTTATCTAAATTAGCAAAACCAAAATTTGAGGGATTAAAAGAGCCCTGTGAGTATGTATTGTTTAATGGAATAGTGTGTACTGTGTAGAATTGTATCCTCACATATACCTTATTTCTATCTTACCTAATAGAAAGTATAAGGAAAGGTAATTTGATGCCCCCCTCCTTGTTATCAAAGTTCGAGTGCCTGCCTCTTGCAGTTTCCATGAGCATTAAACAGTGCCCACGATAGTTAAGCACAGGCAACAATTGACAGTAAATGTCAGTTAATCACAGAGCACAGGGTGATACTTCACTCCTTTCAGAAAACACTGAATTGCTCTGAACATCTGTTTGGTGCCTGCCACCTGTCAAGTGGTGTACTTAATTATTACCCTGGCACAGCTTTTTTGGGGGGAGGGGAGTGGGCTTTGCCTTCAAAGTGTGGTGGTTAATTAACATTTGAAGAGCATGCTTTAATATTCATTCTGAGTTAATCCTTACCACAAATTCCTTGATCTAAGGTTTCATTTTACCAGGTGAAGAATCTGGAGCTTAAAAAGATTAGGTTACCACGCAGGTGATGGACCTGTAATCTAACTCTGAGTCAGATTGTGGTCTGTTAGCCCTGAACTATATTGCAGTTGTAGTTTTATTTTGATAGAGCAGTAGTTTTTTTTCCCTTTACTTACAAGGATCACTTGGGAGTGCTTCAAAAGCACTAAAGACTAGACCCAGTACCCAAGAATTCTGAATTAATTGTTCTGGTGTGAACCTGGGTAATGGTAAAGTACCCTGTGTGATTCTGATGTGAATCACTGTGCCACGGAATAGGACTATAAAGAGAGGTAGTGGTGGTGGCATATAAACTTGGAAATGTTGTATATAGGGCCTGCTGGGAAAGGTTGTTTATAGCCCTTTTACTTTGCAGCTTTGATAGTCATGGACCACTTCAGCATAGGAAGAGATTCTGATATCAGAGCTTTAAGGTGTGGGATTTCCAACTGGAAGAATTGGGGGTGGCTTTGTTGGTTGTTGATTTAACTCTGCCTGATTGGGCTGGGGGTATGGTCTAGTTTTTTTAGATATGATTTCCTCTGTCAGACAGATAACAGGAAAACCAGTGAGGAAAATCTTCAGTTTTTTCTGTGGAGAGTACCTTGTCTTATCTGTTCCTAGCTGTCTTTAAGGGTTATTCCTTTGATGTATGGGCCACCACAGAGTTGTAATCAGTACTAATTTACTTACTTGAGGACTGTTTGAATCCCATAGTTTAGGTATTCTAACTCATGTTTAAGTTAAATCTTTAACTTAAAGATCATTTTTACCTTTATTAGAAATTCAGAAAAGCTATATTTATTAAATTAATATACCACTAAAATACATGCCTACCACAGTTTAATAGCTAAAGCTTGGAAACAGCCCAAGTGCCCATCAATTGGAAACTGGATGAAGAAGATGTGGTTTTTTTATAAAATGGAGTACTACTCAGCCGTAAAGAATGAGAAACTAGAGTCATTTATAGCTAAATGGATGCATATTGAGGCCATACTCTCTAAGTGAAATAAATAAGACACATGTGTAAATACCGAATAGTTTCTCTAGTGTGAGAAACTGAGAGTGTAAATAAGGACTAAAAGGATTAATAACTAATAAATGATACTTTGAAATTGGAAAAGGTCCAAAGGGGTAGGGGTCGTGGGAGGGAAAGGGGAAAGGAAAGAACGGAAAGGAAAAATTACGAGAAAAGAAAGAAAAATGGAAACAAAGTATGTAAATAGGGAAGGGTTTAGGGGTGAAGGGTGCGTAGATAATGGGGGAAAAATAAGAACCCAGATACATCATGTACAGGTACAAGCACCCAAAGATAAATGTAAATGTATTGTATACCTAAAATGTACCAATAAAAGAATTTAAGAAAAAAAATAAATAAAATACATGCCTACCATAAAGATTTGGGAAATTCTTTGTTTAAAATATTGATACTTGATTTTGTCTCTTTCTGAAATGGAGCTTTTAGGAAGTTTTATAACTGCTTAAATATGATTGCCCTCTCCTTTTTGACTTTGGTTAATTGAGGAGCTAATAAACCAAATGTAAATTCTCATAATTTTCTAATTATATCCTTATTTTTTTTAAGCTGTTGCTCAGATAGAACAGAACTGTCTTTCATACTAAAGATTGTTGAATGGCTGTTTGTTTTTCCTTTCAGTTTAAAAATCCTCTTATTATGCTGCTTCTGGCTTCTGCAGTTATCAGTGTTTTAATGCATCAGTTTGATGATGCTGTCAGTATCACTGTGGTAAGGAAAATGTATTTTTAATCTATTTAATTTTATGTTATTTTTTATTTTGGAAAATGAATTTTAAAAAGCTTTCAGTTTTTTGTTGTTTTTGTTGTTAGTGTCCAAATCTACTCTTAGTTGTTATTATGTTTTTTTTTTTATTGTATTCAAGATAGGGTCTCACTGTTGCTCAGGTTGGCCTTGAACTTCTGGTTTCAAATGATCTTTCTTCCTCAGTCCCGGAGTAGCTGGGACTACATTCCTATACCACTGTGCCCAGCACTTGTAGTAGTCTTGTGTGATGTTCAGAGGTCTGTGATTGGCACCCATGAAAATTATTTCACAATCTGATAATTTTACAGATATGAAATACAGTAATTTTCCAGTTAAATTTAAAATTTCTTTTTTCAACTCAAAGTGTTTTGACTATAAACTAAAGCCTGACCTATGAGGTTGAAAATATTCTTTAACATTGCACACTATATATACTGTGTACAATTTTTTTCTTGTGAAGTTATTCTACCTTTGAATTATTTTTATTTACATCCCATTTTTCATTGTATTATAAAAATTTATAGCAAGTACAAAAATTATTAAAAAGCAAGTTTTTTATGATTAAGAACACAGTAGTAGATATTAATGTAGAGCTTTAGTGTTCTTGAACTGTTGCTTGTAGGTACCCTTCTGTGGGCGTATATGAAGTCAAAACTATTCTAATAATATTAAAACACTATCTTTCTTTTTACTGTAGATTTTGAGTCAGTGGCACTAAAATCATGGTATATACAATTGTTAGAACCTTATTAATATAAATCAAAATAATGGCTCCAAACTGTATTGGTAGTCATTGTTTTCTTTCATTGTTTCTCTTAAGAATGTTCTTGATAGAGCTGTAAAAATTCATTTTTAAAAATCTTGATGCTTGAGTACATACCTTTTTTTATAACCGGTGTAATGAAATGGGAAGAAGGTGTAATGGGCATGCTAGGCAAGTCCTGTACCACTGAGTTTTGTATATTGAAGTAAAATGCTACTTTCAAGGAAAGTGGTTATTGTGAGGTGAACTAGCTCTTTACCTAAAAGGATAATGTTCTTAATGATAAAATTGAGGCTCTCAAGCAGTAATTAGAGGTCTGGTAAATTTTTATGCATTACCATGAACTCTGGATAGCTTCCCAGTGTTTAAGAATTTATTCTAATGAGCTCGGTAGTAATTTGTTTTGTTTTGTTTTTTTTGTTTTTGGTACCGGGGATTGAACTCGAGACCTTGCGCTTGCAAGGCAGGCGCTGGAACCACTGAGCTAAATCCCCGGCCAGCTTGGTAGTAATTTGAACAGAGACTTTTTTTAACTGTTATGAATTGTGTCGACATTTAGAAGATTTGAATAGCCAAGAGAACCCATATTTTCCTGATGACCAGTGTGTGACTTTCCAAATGTTCAGTGGTACAAGATTGATTCACAATGCAAGATTGACCCATGAATTTTAATATAACAGACTCTGTGAAGAGTTCTTTGATATAGTTTTAGATTCTGAGTAACTAGTACATATTAAGTTTTAATGTAGTACCTAAGAAGAGTATCCAAAACTATCTGGAAAAGCTAGTAAGATAGTCCTGCTTCTTCTAGCTGCTTTCTGTCTAAGGTTTGGTTTTGTTCGTATTTCATTTTTAAAAAAACGCTTATTCTCCTTTTGCCTGAACAGTGTAAAGCAGTGGATTGAATACCAGATTTCCATTAAGTCAGACATTAAAAATAGAAAAATTTGGGTAGGGGGTATAGGTCAGTAGTAGTGCCTTATTTACATTCACAAGATCCTGTGTTCTATACCCAGCACTGCATAAAAACAAACAAAAGAACAAACACCTGAGCTTCTCATAATTTTTTTTTCTTTTGCAGTACTAAGGATTGAATCCAGGACCTCCGGCATGGCTAGACAAGTGCTGTATCACTGAGTTGCATTCCCAGTCCAAAGTTTTTTCTTTTATTGAAAATGTATTTTTCAGAAAAACATTACTTCTGTTAACATGTAGTGGATTTTTAATTTTTTAAGACAAATTGATAAGTAGAAATTAAACCTAAGTTATTGTAAAAGTAGTTAAAATAGGAAATATCAGCAGATACCCATAACCCACATAAACAAAAGCTGGACCTCAATTTGTGAGAGCATAAAGGGGTACTGAGATGAAGAAGTTAACCATCAGTTATGAGCTGTCAGATTGCTTCCCACAGGGCTCAACACAAAGTTGTAATTTGTTTTTTAGCTGATCTCAGTGTTTAAAGTCTGTTACCCTGGGACTGCATATAGAAAAATAAAATATAGTTAACAGTTATTTCTTGTTAATATCTGGTTTAAAAGGCTATGTCTTTGTTTTGTTTAGGCAATACTTATAGTGGTTACAGTTGCCTTTGTTCAGGTAAGTAAGTAACCTACTTGGCCAACATAAAAATGTTAGTTAATTACTTAAAAAAATTAAAGTGGCTTAGGTAAAGGATATAGTTATTGGGAGGTGGTAACATCTATTCCCACAATTCTTCGTTTATGGAATAATTTCAGGAATAGACAACTTTGAAGAAGTTTGTGAGACTAAGGGACTGCTTTGATTTAGGTAATGAGATGAAGAAAATCTAGTTTTATAGATAACTGGAGCAGATGGAAACAAAAGCCCAAATAATGGGCAATTTAGCAATAATTTTTTAATTTTTCCAGTTAAAAAATTGGGCCAGGTGTTATGATTTTATAACACAATTTTAATACTTATAGAACAAAGTCTAGATGAAACAGTCTAGAATGAAATGGTCAACTTGTCAAATACCTTCTGAAGAAAATTCTCTTGGTTTCTTTCTATGAGTCATTGTACTCACCGAATGGATAAACTTACTTACTGAATTTTTTTCTAGCCTTGTTTCCTTTGAGTTTTTTGTGAAAATTAATATGTTTCTAATCAGTGTCGGTGTTTCCACACACCTTTTAAAATTTCTTACTCTTCAAGAGGTGTTCTCACGTGGACCAAACTTGTATTCAACATAGCCATTGAAACAGCAAAAGAAACAAATAAAGAACCTCTTTTATAAATTGTTGTGAATAATGTACAGATGATAGCAGGATTTCTGTTAACAAGTGTAGTTATAAATAAAAATGATGTATGCTTAGTTTTATGTTTATTTAAATGTCTGAAACTTCGGTAGTTTTTAGAATAACGTTTCAGAATCTTGGCAGGGCATGTTTTTAGCATTTCTAAAACATGGTTAATAGAATTATGAAGAAATTAATGCTCTTGTATAATCCTGAAATTCATGATATTTTGATTCTTAAGACTATATTTCAAGCTATTGTGATTATCCTCATATCTACTGTTTATATTTTCTGTGTATTTTTTGTCATTGTCCTGTTCTCTTAATCTCTAACATAGTTTTACAATAATTGTAGAAAGCCAGTTGGAATCAGTTTATTTGTAAGTTTGTGTGCTCCCTGAGACCACCCTGTTGAGGAAGAATCACCTTGTTTAGAACAGATGAATGTTGCTATTGAGATGGCAAAGCTGGTTAGTCTAGCATAGGTCCTTGCAGTCTGGATATCATTCAGGACAGCTATTTATTCAGCTAAGTGAGTAGTATGACCCCTTGGACCAGAAGTAGACCTCTCTTGCATTTTAAAAATGTCCTTCTGAAGAATTCCTATAAATGATATCACTATATTTGGAGAACTTTGGTAAATAATTTGTTCTCTTTGGTAAATAAAGAGCCCTTAACTCTCAAAATACCCCACAAAATTGCAATTTTAGTATAAGTTGATAGAGACTTTTACACAAGGATGGTGAGTTATATATTTTAAATGCAGTGACCAAGACTGACTGTTAAATATCTTTATGATAGGTTCATTTGATAGAATCCGAACAGAAGGATCAAAACATTATGAAACGCTCAATTTCTAATTGCTAGATTTGTTTTCTTACCCACTTGTGACCTAAATAGGCCTGGGAAGCCAACAAAATAGTCTATAAATACAAATTAAAATCCTTCTCTAAAAAGATTTTATTTACTGTCAGTTGAACTTATCATAATGCTTTGAAGAAAATCCCTTATCACAAATATATCAAAAATCTTAATATTTTTACCATTCAGTATTTTTACCTTTGGTTTAGAATAGAATACTTTTTGGAACCGGGGATCAAACTCGGGACCTTGTACTTGCGACACAGGCGGCGGAAGAATAGAATACTTTTTATATTGCTTTTATATTTATGTCTGCCCACGTATTTTTCTAATCCCCATACAAGTCCTTCCCAGCCATACAAACAGCTAATAACTGTTTTGCATAATCATAATGATACCATCTTACAATATTTTGGAAAGTTTAAGATTGGCAGCTTCTGACTAGGATTGGTATTATCTAAGATTGCTGACTAGGACTGGTATTTTCTGGCCCTCTGGAATTTTTGGATAGATCTGAATTTGTTACTATCTATAGTGTATTTAGGGGGCTTTCTTGTAATTTTTATATTTATAGATTTTCTTATACTTGTCTCTTGTCCAATTAGAGGTTGATGTAGTTTTATGTTATTTTTATGCACTGTTGCATTTTCACTTGATGTAGTTTGTGGTGGGTGTGAAATTTTAACTAGTACTAGGACTGCAGTAATTTCAAAACACTCCTCACCTTTCATTCATGCTGTTGTCTATTTTCCTTTAATCTTAGACCACAAGATTGATGTGCTTAGAGTACACATCGGGGCAAAAACAACAGTGATGTTGCCCAAAGCAAAATTCCTCATAGGAACATGATAAAATAATATAGTGGGGGCGAAGGATGTCTCTGACACTGTGCTGTTGGTGCTGTGGATGGAGAAGTCTGGAATATCATAGGGCTAGGGCTCTTGAGAGTTCTCTCTTTCATATAATTCAGGTAGATGGAAAGACTGTCATTGTAGGGTCATTTCACTCTTGTTTATTCTGTGTTCTTATGCAAACTTGTTCCATAAACCATTGCAGTTAGCGTGGGTTTAAATCCTCAAAGCAAATGTTACATACACATAATTGTCCTTGAGTTCTTCGGCTGTTAAACACCATATGTAAAATTAATCTTAATTATAAGGCCTTATAAGGCCTTATGATCTTAACTTTTAATGACTCAAAATTATGTACTGCTTTTATTTTCTTCTAATACTAGGTTTGCACACCAAATATTAAAATATAAAGTTGACAGTATTGTCAGAATTCTTATGCAATATTGCATTTTCATTGTTTGATCACTACAATTTAACCCTTTTAGGTATGGAACTAGTTTTTATAGGTAGGAATATAAGCATAAATGAAGAAAAAGATAAGAATATGGAGAAATTTTAAAACTGTGATTGAGAGTACTATTTAAGTCTAAATGGAATATGTTCATAGGAACATATATATTTATATTTCTTTATACATATTTTGTTAACATTAAGTTCTGCTTTCTTTTTTAATAGGAATATCGTTCAGAAAAATCTCTTGAGGAACTGAGTAAACTTGTGCCACCAGAATGCCATTGGTATGATTGTTTTTTCTGATGATTCCTATTGCTTTAAAAATAGAAGCTGAATGTGACTAGTACAGTATATATTGTTTCCCCAGCTTTGCATAAGGAAGATACTATTAATCTGACATGAAAAATTCCTGCTCTGATCAATTTAGTATATATCCTGCCCTGGGTTTTTTGAGCAGGATCTCATTATGTAGTCCAGGCTGGCCTGGAACTCACAATCTGCTTACCTCTGTCTCCCAAGTGCTAGGGTTCATGTGTCACCATGCCTGGCTAATTTTGATATTCTTCAGATACAGCTGTATTCAGCAAATGTTTATATATTTGTGCATGTGTTGAACACTGTACTTAGCATAATGAAGACTACAATGAAACAACTGGATTCAGGTTTTCACACTATGTTTGAATAATAATACCAGTTTTTCTAATCATTTTATGTCATCTGAACATCTTAATAAGATCACACAGATAATCTTTTTCTTGCCACCTGCTCACATTTTTGGCCATATTGGAGATTGAACCCAGGGCCTCATGGATGCTAGGCAAGAGCTCTCATGGAGTTACATCTTTAGCCCTTTTTCTTGGTTCTTGTATTTGACCTATCTCCTTTTTTTTTGGTACTGGAGATCAAACTTGGGACCTTGCGCTTGTGAGGCGGCAGCGGAACCACTGAGCTAAATTCCTGGCCCCTATCTCCTTTTGAAAGTCAGGACCACTGGAAATAATTGATTTAGATAAGTGCTGTGGTTTTTTTCTCACTGTGGTGGTTTCTGTTTGTTACAGCGTGCGTGAGGGAAAGCTGGAGCACACACTGGCCCGAGACTTGGTTCCAGGAGATACTGTTTGCCTATCTGTTGGGGACAGAGTTCCTGCTGACTTGCGCTTATTTGAAGTAAGTTGAAAGATCTGTTTGTGAGGAGTGAAAATGTTTGGGTGTTGATTAAAAGATAAACCCTAACAAACATGAACTAATAAAAATTTAAAAAAATTAAAGCAGCTAAAAGATAAACATTAACCAGTTTTAAGGATTAACACACGATTGAGTCAAAACATTTCATATTCTGTTTTAAATATTAACAGAAGTATTTTTTTTTCCTTAAAATATAATTATTTGTCTTATAAAGTCTTTTTAGGTATCTATTTAGTGAATCAGCAGAGCTTTATGAAACGTGTGTTAAGCAGTATGAGAAACTAGAGATTTGATAGAGTTCTTGTGATTTGGGAGCATACTATATTTGTATATTCAGTAATGGAGTAAGAAAAGTTAAAAAAAATAGACTATGGAAATTTAGTATATGTGCTGCCAAAGCAAGCACTAGAGTATGGAAATTTATAGAAGGGAGAGGCTCAGTTTAGTTGAGATCAAAGAATGCCTCAAGACAGCATGGCTTTGGCAGTGCTAATAAAAGTACTGGGAAGAAATGGAAAAGACAGTGAAGCAGCAGTATTCAAATCTGTGTGAGCTTTCCAGTGCAGATACTTCTTGACTTATGATGGGGTGTATCTCAAACCCATCATAAGTTGAAAATGTTGTAAGTCAAGAATGCATTTAACGTACCTAATCTACCATCATCGCTTATGTGGCACAGTACACTGGAGAGTATCAGTTATTTACTTGTGATTGTGTGACTAACTGGGAGTCATGGCTTAATGCTGCCACCCAACATCACAAGAGAATGTCACACTGCATATTGCTAGCCAGGGGAAACATCAAAATTCAGAAGTCAAAGTAGGTTTCTACTGAGTATGCATCATTTGCTTTCTCTTTGTGACAGTGTTTTCCTAGTAGACTGGTAAATTCAGACCTCAACTCTGAAAGTGTATAGGAATCATCTGGGTTCTAGTATGGCAGGTGTAGGGTGGGGCCTCAGATTCTGCACATCTAACGAGTTCATGCCAGAAGTGCTTATCCACCCACCACATTTAAAAAAAAATCAAATTTTAATTACAGCTTTATTGGGATATAATTCACATATCATATAACACACACATTTGAAGTATACCATTGGTGGTTTTCAGTATATTCAGAGATGAGCAGCTTTTACCACAACTAATTGTAGAATATTGTCCTCAGTCTCCAAAGAAAACTCTTACTTTTAACATTCCCTGTGTGTATATTCTCCCCACCTTTGACAGCCACTTACCTGCTTGCCCCTAAAATTCATTTGCCTATTTTAGATATTTCATATAAATGGAATTATACAATATGTAGTCTTTTGTGTCTGATTTCTTTCACTTAATATACTGTGTTAAAGTCCATCATTCAAGTGTTTCATTGCCAAACAATATTCTGTTGTATGAATACACACGTATTTGGTAAGTTTAGTTCATTTATGTCTAATATGATTACTTCTGGAGAGAGTGTTTGTTGTTTGCTTTCTATTTGTGTTATAATAGTTCTTTCTTACCATAGGGTATGTGTTCCAACACCTTCACTAGATATTTCAAGCTGTAGATAGTACTGAGTCCTAATAGGTACTGTTTTTTTCCATAAACGTCTACATAACTTTAATGCTTTTTTATTTTAACTAAGCATTTTTCACATATCTTAGATAAAACTTTGGCTATTGAGGCAAACCATCAAGAATTTATTTTTTCCCCCTTAATTTTATGGTTAGGATACTGGTTCTTATAATAGATCTTAGCAACCATACCATACTATTGTTTTTCTTTCCTTTAATTATGAATTTCTGTATTTAATTAAAGGAAGTACTTTTGGTTTCACTTTAGCATATTTTAATTGCCAGCATCACTACTCTACACTTCAGTAAAGAGTAAAGTAAGAGATACTTCAACTATAAGCAATGTAATACTGAGACAGTTGATCTGATAACTGAGGCAGCTTCTAAGTAACTTAAGGGAGGGTAATATATACAGTGTGAATACACCAGGTAAAGGAGTGATTTTTCACCCAGGTGAGGTGGAGTAGATGGAGCAGGCTTTCATTGAACTACTTAGAATGTTATATAATTTAAAACTTAGTTTCTGAAATTATCCATTTAGTATTTTTGGATCATTGTTGACCATAGGTAACTGAAATGCTAGGAAGCAAGTCTGGGTGAGGATGGAATTACTGTATATATTTTTTTTATGTTTCTCAGTTCCTTCAGTCTGCCCTCTTTTGAGTTAGGCTGATTTCCATTTTAAATGTATTTTTTTTTATTCCCTCAGTTCCTTTTCCTGTATATTTTTGTTACTTTCGTAGTTATTATCATGAATATTACAATTAACATTCTAAATTTACATAATCTAGTTTGAATTTCTACCAACTTTAGTAACATATAAACACTTGTTTCTGTATTGTCTAGTCCTTCCCTGCCTTTATATAGTGGTATCTTCGTTCACAAACTTAATTCTTTCCATGATTCTAGTCACAAACCAAATTGGATGAGAACTGAATCATTTTCAGTGATTATGTTCATTGTTGGCCTTATGAGGAAGTTTGATTCAGTTCTCATCCAATTTGGTTTGTGACCAGAAACGTGGAAAGAATTAAGTTCATGAACTGAAGTACAACTGTATTACTGTCACAAATGACATTTTTATACATTTTGTGCCTGTTTGTATAGATTTATAAGTATTTTTTATGCATGTAGTTTTTTGATCATACAGGAAGCAAAAAAGAGGAAACAAAAACTCGAAATATAAAATTCCTAGTTTTATGTTTGTCTACATAAACTTCTATTGGAATTCTTTATTTCTTCATTTGGCTTTGAACTGTTCTCCTTTTATATTGTCCAAGAAGAATCCCTTTTAGCTTTTCTTATGTTGCTGATTTTTTTCTTCAAACCCCTCTAGTGAACTTTCCTCAGTACTAGGGATTGAACCAAGAGCTTTCACAGTGAGCTGTATCCACCCCCTTTTAAGGTTGTTATTGTGAGGGCTGAGGATTTAGCTCAGTGGTTTCGCTGCCTGCTGCACAAGTGCAAGGACCCAAGTTCAATCCCCGGTACCAAAAAAAAAAAAAAAAAGATTATTATTGTGAAACAGGGTCTTGCTAAGTTGCCACATTGCCCTGGCTTGGCAATGAACATGATCTTCCTTCCGAGTGCTAGGATTATAGGTATGTGCCATCACACTTGCCTGAACTTTTCATTTAAGTTCTTGTACTTTTCTGCACCAATATTTCTAATTGTTTCCTTTTCGTAATTTCTCTCTGTTAATATTCTCTTTGTTCATAAATTACTTTCTTAGTTTTCTTTAGTTCTTTGAGGATAGTTAAGACAGTTGACTTAGTCTTTTTCCCTTAAGTCCAGGGTCTGAACTTCCTCAGGGATGGTTTCTGTCAATTTTCTTCTATGAATAGGTCATCTTTGTCAATTTTTTGTGTTTTTGTTGAAAACTGGATATTATAGTGTTTTAATGCAGGCCACCAGAGACACCCTCTTCCCTTGGTTTTGTTGTTTTTGATTCCTGAAGGCTGAAGTCCACTTTATTTAGTGAATTGTACAGATTATTTTTGTAAAGACTGTATTGCTTATCATGAATGGCCACTGAAATTTCTGTTCCATGGTCTCAGCAGTAGGCCTTAATTTTCAGAACTCCCTCCAAAACAAATACACACACTCTCATTTACTCATCATTCTCCTATTTTTTGCAGCTGCCTCTGAGCTGGGATACTTCTTCCATGCTGTACCAGGGTGACTCCAACTCTGCCTTTACCTCTTGTTTCTGCACAATGCACATATCTGCTAGAAGTGCAATCCTAGAGATTTCTCAAGTCTTTTCCGAGCCTGTATCTGGTCTTAGGCACATATATTGTACCCTGTATTCCAGGTACTGTATGGGTGCAGTGGTCCTTTAAACAGTTATTCCCCCAAGAAGCTTCCTCGTCACCTTCTCCTTAACCAGCTTTTTGAATGTACTCTATTGCCCTGTTTTCTGTACCTTGAGCCCTAGTTTGTCTCCAGTATCTTGAGAAATGCCCAGAAAGCCTTACTGTCTGGCTCATTGTGGGGATATAAATCTACACCACTCGTTTAGAGAACTGCCTGACAGGTCAAAACACACAAGCAGAGTATTTTAGGAATGAGGTCTACAGTAACCCTCTGACACTAGTAAGCTGTGTCAGGATCCCAAGCTGCTGTGGCACAACCATAGCTGCTTCCGTCTGGGGAATCGCAGATAGTAGACAGGTAAACAGAAGTGCCACTCTGCTTTCCTGGTACTCTAAGTTTTTGATTCCGAAGTTGATTTTATTATCAGTTTTGGGCCAGTTATTATTTTAGTTATAGGGACCAATTTTTTGAATGCCCTATTCCATTAGTCTCTGTTGAGTTACTCCTGAGTTGCAAATTTTTATACTGATTTCAGTATAGTTTTGGTAGGTAAATTTGATAAATTGATTAGTAGTATTTTTCTACCTTTTTGTGATTTATTGTAAAAATTTGGCTTTTAGAAGTTTTTGAATTATTCAGCTTACACATTTGCAAAAAAGAATAGTATACAAACATCTTAGGAAGTAGAGATTTTAAATTACTTGAAAGAAATTGAGTACAGTGTAGAAGGTCTTATGGTATATTTGTATAATTTAGAAACATTCCTACTCAACAAAATTGTTTGGTGTATTTGCCTTGAGAATGTCTTTTTCTGAAGTAGGTATCATTATGTATCTTGGAAAACCACTCCAGAGATACCTTCCACATTAGGAGTGCTTTTTCTTTTAGACTGTATGAGCTTTAGCTACTTATGTTTTGTTGTTGGATCGCCATAGTTCAGCTGCTTCAGAGTGTGAGCTGAGGAATGCTGTCATGTTGAATATGTTGAGAAAGAACTTGTTTTTCTCATTGAACTAGTAGAACTCAAAGACAGTATGTCCTGAGGGACAGTGAGACTGAAGTAATACATGCTTTTTTTCCCCTCCTCTTAGACTTTCTCTCCTGTCTTGACAGGAAAGACTTGGAAAAATCAACCCTGTTTTAAAATTTGGTGTAATAGTAATAGTGAAATATCCTAGAAATCCTTTTTAACTGAATACTGGCCTTTAAATTTTTGATAATTAGATCAAGTTGAATCTGTGTGCTTCAGTCAGAAAGTTAGCAAGGATGCAGGCATTTACCAGGGTATAAAAACAATTTTATGTATCCTTGTCAATAATTTTCTAATACTTAGTTGACTTGGCTTTGAGTGTTAATAAGTTAGAGCTCATGAAGAATTTTTGATTACATTTTCTTCACCTGGAAAAACAGCAGAATCTTACTTTTTGAAAGCAGAATAAGAGATTTTATGATCAGGCAGCTGCAAATAAATATAGGGAAAGAAAGCCAGTTCTGATTTGCTTTTAATTCCAGAAAGGTTATTGCTTTAGGGGCATATTATAGAGCTATTCCTTAACTTAAGGATTTATTTGTAGTTGTCACTTGTTCCACATCAACTTTAAATTTGTTAAGTAGTCACTTTTTGCCTTTCGGGAAACCTTAATGAATGGCATTTGTTTTCTTTTTGCTTAGTGTTTTATTGGAATAATAATGTGAACCTTTTCTTCTCTCTTCTCTCTTCTCTCTTCTCTCTTCTCTCTTCTCTCCTCTTCCTCTTCTTCTCTTCCTCTTCTTCTCTCCCTCTTCTTCTCTCCCTCTTCTTCTCTCCCTCTCCCTCTCCTCTTCTCAGCAGGGTCTCAAGGCTGGCCTTGAACTCACTGTGTAGTCCAGCCAGGCCTCAAACTCGTGATTAATCCTCCTTCTTCTGACTTTTGAGTGCTGGGATTACATGCATGCGCCACCCTGCTTGGCTATTGTGAATTTTTCTAATCATTTATATCACATGGGTGTTAAATATTTGGGTTATGGATATATATACATTTTGATTCTTATGTTTTGAGTTTTGGACTGTTTTTGTCTCATTCACATGTCCACCACAGTACCCAGAGAAGATTGAAAGTGACAATCAGTTCTCCTATTCATAAATAGTTCTTTTGAAGGTTTATTGTTTGAACTTATAGATAGGCATGGGGCTGGTTGCTTCTTTGATTTATTTTACCCTCTTTTTGCTCTTGTGAATGCAATGGATAAATGATTCTAGTATCTTTTCTCAGATGAATTAAGTTGTGATGTTAATTGTAATAGGTTTTGCCTAATGTGTTAAATAGCACTCTTATTAGAAATGACCACCTTCTTCCTACTCTCCCTAAAACTGCTTTCACTTTAAGAGAAAATATAATTTAGAAAATGTTCTTTTTCATTAGATAGTTGAGATCTTTGCAGTTTGAGCCATTGTATGATTTAGCCAAATTTCATCATTTATATGTTCTTCAAAATTTGAGTTTTAGTTGTGAATTTATATATACATATATGTATATATATATGTATATATATGTGTGTGTGTGTGTGGGTGTGTATATGTATATGAAGTTCCAAATCCCTTTTCTGTCATATCAGCTTGTCCTCTAAACACTTAGTCATGGCTGATTGCTGTTGTACTAAAATGACCTGCCTCTTTTCTGTAGGAACACCCAATTTAACTGAAAATGCTTATTCTCTTAAATGACTAGTAATGGTGAAACTGAAGTGGGAGGCCACTTATGACTTACATGATAGGGCCAAAAGGGCAAACTTTTCCTCTTTTTTAAGAAAGTCAAATTAGTTTAGACAATCATGCTATGTTAGTATTTATCCATGCCTAAGGTTTATAATATCTAAGCTAAAAAAATCCTAAGAGGAGAAATATGAATTTTACTTTTCTAAGAGAAAAATATATTGTATATATCTCTTAGATATGCACAATTTTTTGTTTGCTTTTAAGTGCTAGAAGTTGTCTTTTCTAATTAAGAGCCTAGAAAATTACATGCAGTTCTTGCTGTTATAAAAAGTATTAAAGAGGAGTTTGCTAAATAAAGTGAATCTTATGTTGACTTTTGCTATTAGGAAAAACATCATTTTTTTTTTACATAGACTTAGTTAATGTGTTATACCTATATAAGTAGCTTTAAAACTGGGGAGGAGAAATAATTTGCTAGTTGATCCTTTGAATAATTAATTAAAATGAATCTGGAGTTAGCATTTGTCAGCATTGAGATTTCATCTTCATAGCTTTCTGTCTATATGTATTTGTGTGAGTTAATCTTTTTGTCTGTAAAGTGTGAAAATAATAGTACTTGCCTCCAGCAGTTGTTAATAGAATTTAGCATAGGTATGTAGCAGAGCGAGTGGTTGATAGTAACCAGTGAAATGTCAGCTCATTTTTGAAGAAAAGTCTATCCTACAAGTTTTTTTTTCTTGGTAATAAATTTGTTGGTAGGAAAAATTACACAGTTCTAAGGTTAATTTGGAAAGAAAAGCCAAATAAACGTATTCCTTTAATAAAGAAAATGTATATTGCCTTGGACCATGGTAGGTATTTTACTATCTTGTAGTTGATTTGAGGTATTGAACGCAAAATAATTTGGCTTGTATTTGCATGAATTTTTAAAGCCTAAAAGGACTATTGATCTGTGTCTTAAGGAATAACATTTTAAGCCCAGTTTGCTGCTAAATTGCGTCAGATTGCTATCTTACCTAAGCTTTTATGCCAATAGTTTGTCTTTGGATTTTCATGCTGAATAATTTTAAATTTAATGATCTGTTGTTGTAAATAAACTCTTGATCACCTTTGCAGAGTTATATATTTACCTAAGTATAGAAACACTAGAACTAGAACACTAGAACTAGAACACTAGAATAGAAATATATTTACCTAAGCATAGAAACACTAGGCAGGTCTTTGTTTAACATTTCCTTGCTCTCTGATCATGGCCCAGCCTTAGAGCTCTAGGCTTGGCAGAAGGGATCATATGCTTTTGAAGAATGTTGTCTTTCTCCTAAGATGTACTCTTGTCTGAATGTAGTTGTTTCTCCTCTACCTAGTATATATCACACGTGCTTGTCTGTGTTTAGAATGGCTTTCCAGTAGAATAATAGCTGAGGGTGGAAGGTTTGTTCACCACTGATTCTCCCACTGTGTGTGATACAGCACAAGGCCCTTTGTATGCATTAATAAATACTTGTTAAGTGAAAGGATGAATGACATTGACTAAATTAAAAGTTTTGTTACTGAGATGGGGAGGAAGCAGGATCTGTGAACCAATTTTTTAAATAATAATTTGTATAAGACTTAAGGTATTTGTGCTCATAAAAAAATGAACTCTTTAAGATGTGATTGGGCTGGGGATGTACCTGAGTGGTATTGTGCTGGCCTAGCATGCGTAAGGCCCTACCTTTGATCCCCAGTACCTCAAAAAATAAAAAATGAAAAGATGTGATTTATTAGCTTTTTGTTTTTGGAGTATCAGGGCTGAGCCAGCAGCTGCCTTCCTTCTGAAAAAGGAAAGGAAAAAAAGGATGTAGCATTTAGAGTATAAAGCTGCCCTAATAAGAACACAAGCTTGTCTTACAATAGCAATGAGACTGCCCAGTAATTTAACTGCTTCAGATTCCTTATTCCTTTAACAGGATTTAGCTCAGCACCTAGCACATAGTAAAGGTAGTTTGTTGGGTGAGTCAGTTAGCCTGCAAAGGATTTAAATCATGAATTGCCACCTACTTTCTGCAAGTGTTAAGACCATCTTTGAATAAGAGCTTCTAGAATATAAAATGGATCTAAAAAGTTTTATAAACACTGTATTGCCTTGATTCTCCAACTTGAGCATGCATCAGTAATACATAAGGGGCTTGTAAATTGCTAGGTTTACTTTCCCCATCCTTGGATTGCATGGTAGTTGCAGAGGATATAATTGCATTAACAAGTTCTCAGGTGGTAGGGGTGATACTTATTCTGCTGCTCTTGCTGGGACCTAATGCTGAGACCCTTGCTCTATCTGCATTCCTCTTTAGATCATTCACACTGTTGCTTTGCAGGTTTTGAGAAGCATTGCAGTAGGAGTTAAGTGTTTAACTCTTAACTTATTTCTAAGACTTACCTGGCTCATTCCTTCTCTTATATGTATGTTAATCATCTACTGCATTGTACACAGTGCCTGTGAATATCTTCAGGAAATGTTCTTCTGTGGGCCATATTTTCCACACATATGGGTGTGGTGGTACATACTTGTTATCTCAGCATTCAGGGAGGCTGAAGCAGGAGGATCCCAAGTTTGAGCCCATCCTGGACAACTTAGTGGCTTAGCGAGACCATCTGTGAAAAAATGAATGAATGCGCTGGGGACATAGCTCAATGCAAAGGCACTGGCAATCTCTAGTACTTAAAAAAAAAAAAAAAGAATGCACCTTGTCCCAGTCAGAAGATAGACAATGATACTCATGATCTACAAGGAAACATTTTTTATTCTTACAAACTTTAATTTGGAATAAATGTTGAGATATAGAGCAAAAATTTTATGAAATTGAGCCTAAATGATGAATGATTGTCTTTCTTATTACCTTTTTATCCTTTATTGATGTATTTCTCTTTGTCATGGTTGGTTTTAAACTACCAAGCATACTTCCTGAACTTTTCTGGGTTTTCTTTAGATAGTTTCAGCTAATGTCTCCATTTCACCATTATATTTTGAATTTAAGGCTAACCTAGTCTTATGGTACAGCATTCTATGTATGTCTCAGATTTTGTTGACCCCATTTTAAAGATAGGGTTGTATTTTCTTTTGTCTTTGAGTAATATAAGATGTAACAAATCAATGGAGAGAAGATATTTGAGGAAGAAGTGAGAGGTATGTTAACTAGCACCGACTTGAATTTATGGACTGCTTTATGTTTCCCAAGGCTGTGGATCTTTCCATTGATGAGTCTAGCTTGACAGGAGAGACAACACCTTGTTCTAAGGTGACAGCTCCTCAGCCAGCTGCAACTAATGGTGATCTTGCATCAAGGAGTAACATTGCCTTCATGGGGACACTGGTCAGATGTGGCAAAGCAAAGGTAACTTTCTTCTTTTGAAAAAAGCAGTTCATTTGTTTATAACTGGTTTCTCAAATTTTTGACTTTTATGTGTTTTTAGTTTTTTTTACCCCAAAATACTGAATATGACAAAAGACAGTTGAACCTAAAGCTGGGCATCTGGGAAATTGGGGAGAAGCTGTGTCCGTGAAATACACAATTCTACCATTTACTGGATAATGGGTAGTCCTTTTTAAAGATAGAAACAAAGTTCATTACTAGTTAAATAAAATTTTAATTAATATGGTACCAGCTATGATGTACTGACTGCAAACTGTTTACCTAATATTTGATTTCAACTATTTCTTTTTGGAGGCACCATTCAGTCGTATAGAAGTGGGAACAAGAAGCTACGTTAAATGTTTTTTAGTGTAAGACAGACCTGAATTTCAGAAATAATAATTTAGGGAAAAAAATAGACCTCAGAATTGAGTTAGTAGTAAGTTTGAAAAGATTTTTATTTCCAAGATTTATAAACTGTAAATACTAATTATAGTAACATAAAAAGTAAACTTACTAAGGGAACCTTGAATATGTATGTCAGATCTGTAGGTGAGAAGATTTTGAAGAAAGAGAATTAATGGGGTTTTGTTTATTTTTCTGGTTGAGGAAAGTGAATCCATGTGTAAAAGAATTTTCTTATTTATCCCCTTAGGGTATTGTCATTGGAACAGGAGAAAATTCTGAATTTGGGGAGGTTTTTAAAATGATGCAAGCAGAAGAAGTGAGTACTTAATATGTTAATGTTGTATTTATTTCACGTCTGAAATTCATTGTGAGTACAAGAGAATATTTTTGAATTCTTGTTTATACTATTGAGAGCAATATCTTACTCAGAATATCTCTTAAGTTGTCCCTGCTTAGATACATGCCGGAAAACCTATAATTAGAAGGGCCTGAATTGACATTGTTAATATTCCAAAAGATTTTGACTTTTACTTATTATAGTGGGATGAGATTTATGGCCAATTTTTTTATAGAGCTTATTCATTTTAGAAATCGGCTTCATATTAATTTTAAAGTTTACTTTTTTTGGTGTTGAGGGTTCCCATGTGCTAAGCATGTGCTCTGCCACTGAGCTTATACCCTTAGCCCCCCAAGGTTACTATTTAGTATGTTTTTGCCTCAGAACAAGTCTATTGAAATTTTTCACTGCATAATTCCAAGTGGGAGTTTGGCAAATGAAATAATGTAGAATATGATTTTGGTTAAGAGTACTAAAGGTGGGTTCTTTCATTAAATACTTTTTCTGTGGATGTTGCATTCTGCAAATGTCATGTTCTTCCAAAATTATCTGAATTTCTCAGGTAACTTGCCCAGATTTGTTTTTGATGTAATGTGGAAAGCCACTCCAAGAAGCTTGGCAGTGAAGGGATAGCTGAGGAAGAAAGTTGGCAGAGGAGGGAGCCTATGGGATCAAACTTGGGTTACTAGCATGTTTGCAGACACAGAAGGGAAAAGTTAGAAAAGTGAGAAAGCAGGTGATAATATTGAAATCTTAGAGACATAACATTTTTTTTTTTTCGCAGTGGGATGCATAGACTGGATTTTTCCAAATGTTTGTGGTTTTTAAAATTGAAAGTTCTGTCATTCCTTACCATTTGACTTAGGTATTATTTAAAATCTAAGCTTCAGTTTCTTCAGGGAAGCTTGGCACATTTATGTTATGGAAGAGTTGTGTGGGTGACTTAAGAATACGTATGTCAAGCGGTTTACCAGAGGGCCTAGCACTTGGTAAAGCGTAATCAATTAGGTAATTGTGGTGATATTCTTCTCAATTTGTCCAGGCACCAAAAACCCCTCTGCAGAAGAGCATGGACCTCTTAGGAAAACAACTTTCCTTTTACTCCTTTGGTATAATAGGTAAGAGAAGAGTGAGTATGTATATATTACATTTTTACTTGGGTTTTCTTTTTTGAATCTGAAGGGTGGTATTCTAGTTCTGTCTGTTTGCTTTTCTTTAAGCTTAATAGTTTTTTAAAAAAATTATAAAGCCAATTATTGTTTTCTTCTACAAAGAAACAAAATGGAACTGTGTAAATCCTATACTGAAAGAGCATTTCTGTGAACATTTGAGTATTTGTCTTCCCAGTCTTACCCAAAATGTGGTACTGTTTTATGGACTGCTTTTATTTTTGTTTCACAGTCTTCATCATAAACATTAAACAGATGCTCACCTAAAATAAATTAAAAGGTTGTATAATATTTCATTTTGTAAACCTAATCACAGATACCTTTTTAGACATTTCTGTAAATTTTTTGAAGTTTTTTTATGTATAGAAATAATCTGAAGTGCAGATATCTTAAACATTGCTTTTTTCTTTAGGATAGATTTTTAAAACTAATATTGAGTCCAAGGGTGTCTATGTAAGTTTTAAATTTTTTGCCAACTTTGAGTGTTGACATTAACATCACAGATGAAAATCAACTTCTCACACTGTTTCACAGTGCATTATTAAAGATACTGAAAAATATTAAAATACTGAATACTTTGTTGTATATGTGTTGACCTTTTTCAGTTTTGAATTGCCCACTATCTCATTTCTTCTTTTTTTGTCACTTAAGTCAGATTGTAGCAGCTCTTCATATAAATAGGATTTAATTCTTTAGCTGCTTACATTGTAACTATTTTTCTCCCAATTTTAATATTATCTTTGAGGGACAGATAATAAACTTGGTAGGAGGGAGATGCATGTAATTGAAAATTCTCTTTTCCTGAGATTTAAAAAAAAACTGGTATGTTTTGGGGTATATAATTATAATCATCTTCAGAATTGGTACATATACATATTGTATCTTAATCATTTTTACTTTCCCTCCCCCTCTCCATGTTCTCATATTCCCCTCTGACTCCATCCCACATCCCCTTTCCATCTCCACAAAGTCTGCCTCCCTGTTTCCTGAATTCTGAGGTTCCTTTAGCACATTTTTGCTGATCATTTCTGTGGTTAAGATTTCTGTTATTCTATTCTTAAGGACTCTCCCAACTCTGTCAATAAGAACATTAAACATTGTTCTACTAGAGTCAGTTCTTTTTTTTTCCTTTTTTCTTTTCTCATTTCTTTTCATTCATTCATTCTCTTTTCTTGTGGTAGCCTTGGGGCTTGAACCTAGAGGCTTGCATATGCTATGCCACTGGGCTATACCTCCAGCCTATCTTATAGTATTAATTTTGATGGTTAATTTTACTTTGAGTTTTTAAAACTATACAGTTTAAGGTAAAGCTATAACTTTTTTACTCAAAAGTTAATTATCCCACTACTATTAGTTCTATAATCCATTCTTTATTAACTGAATTGTAATGACATCTTTATTTGTGACAAATGTGTTAATTTTAGAATCTTTATTTTCTTAATTCTCCCACCCATGTTATTTTAATTAATCTGGCTAGCTTAGTGTTTGATAGTCAGCAATACAATATTTCTCTTAGGTAATTTTAGTGAAATTATTCCTTAGATATCACTTCCTTATTTTTGGTTATCTGTTGGCATTATGAACATAATGTAGGAGGTTTAATGTTGCTTTTGGGTAAGAGCCTCATGTATATTCTCATATAGCTCCTTTGATTATTGCTATTTATAGAAATTTTATAATGAATTTGATAAATTGAAGGATGTCCTAGCCAATTAAATCTATTTTATATTAACAGTACTATAAAACCATCATATTTAATGATAAATATACTCCAAGTTTATAATTATGTTTTTATTTTAGTATAATACATTGGATATAATTTTTCATGTCAGAGTAGTCTTGTGGAATAGGAGGAGGGTCAAGATGTAGATCAGGAGTAAGCAAACGTTTTTGTGAAGAACTTGATAGTAAATATTTTAGGCATGTAGTTTATACAGTCTGTTGGAAATGCTTAATTTGCCATCAGCATGAAAGTAGTGAGACAAATTGATGTGGCTCTCTTCCAATAAACTTTATAAAAACAGACAGGAGGCCCATGGATTATTGCATGCTGACCCCTAATATAATTCATGGTCAGAATTTCTTTTTATCATATTTGTGGTAGGATTTGAGAGGCTCAGTATGTGGGTTATTATAGTTACACAAAGGTAGAAAAAAATGCTTTAAATGTCCATGTTGATCTAGAATACAATCTTGAGGTTGCTTTATGAAACCTTTAATGAGTCTATGTTTTCTTTTTTCTTGCAAACCTGGAGGTGTACCCTTTGTCCCTTTTCTTCTATAAGATAAAATGTAAAAGCAGGGAGTACGGTTTATGTTAATTGCTATCTGCCTGCCTGCCTGTGTGCCTACCTGGTGGTACTGGGAATTGAGCTCTCAGCCTTAGACATACTGGTCAAGCATGCTACCTCAGCACTTTTTATCTTTTTTTGAGTCAGGGTCTCATTAGTTTGCCCAGTTTGGGTTTGAACTTGTGTTTATTTTGTTCTTTTGGTTTTTTGAGACATGGTCTCGCTTTATAGTTGAGGCTGGCCTTGAACTCATTGTATAGCCCAGGCTGGCCTCAAACTCATGGCAGTCCTGCCTCAGCCTCCCGAGTGCTGGGATTGCAGGCATGTGCCACCATGCCCGGCCTGGGTTTAAACTTGTAATCTGTATATCTCAGCCTCCTGAGTAGTTAGGGTGACAGGCATATGCCAGCACACCTGGTTTAAAGTTTTTTAAGTAAGTACCATAAAAGTAGTAATGTGTAAATGTTAATTCATTTTTAGGTATCATCTAAGTAAGATACATCACTCTTTGGGATAGGTTCTAAGTCTTCCTTCATATGCAGTACAAAGTCAGGTGATGTCTAGATACTGAGTCATGAAAAGTAAAACTGTAGTAATTTATTTTTGCAAAATCTATAGTAAATAGAAGATCTATATGTTTTATAGGTCTGTCTCAGTTTTTGGAGTGCGTGAAAATGTTGGTAATATTTTCTTGAACTATGAGTTACTGCTTTGAGGGGTGAGTGGGAGCAGTGACAACAAAAGGTAAAGCTGTGTCGTGTGTATGCACATGCACAGCACTGTCTTTTAAACAGTGTTAGATTTAATCTCCCTAGTGGATTTTTGTAAAACCTTGTAATTGTGATCTGGTGTATTTTCCCTTTCTTATCAAGGGACCTTTTGGATGCCTTTAGTTATTACTCTATCCCTTCTGGGTGATTTATAGAAAAGAGAAAAATATTTGATTTTGTTCTAGGTATCATCATGTTGGTTGGCTGGTTACTAGGAAAAGATATCCTGGAAATGTTTACTATCAGTGTAAGGTAAGTTCTAGTACTTTGTTTATAAATGAAGTCTTGTGCCTCTTATCTCTCTGGTTGAGATACTGTGAAATCATTATGGGAAGTCAATAGTATATGGAGCCCACAAGACTATAATATCTCTACTTAGGTAGTTGTAAAGCTATAAATTGAAGTAGTTCTAGGAAAATGAAACCCTGTGTGTGTGGCAGCAGAGAAAGCCCCTATTAGATGTCTGGAATTATTAGCCTACTATTGCATTTCATATATAAATAAACAAGGATTGTCAAATGGGAAACTAGCAGCATGAAGGAGAAAGACTACAATGAGGAAAGTGAATAATCAGTCTCAGGAAAAAGAATTCAAGAAGTAGAAGATGAATTTTTTAAAAAGTCTATTTTTAGAACTTTCTTATGTCTATGATAGTTGGACAGATTGTTCCAGAAAGTGATCAGAGAACAGTTTCTAGAAATTAATATTATTGCTGAAATTAAAAATTTAATTATAGGACTAGAATATAAAATTGAAGAGGTCTCCTAACAGTAAATGTATGAAGTAGAATGAAATAAAACTAACAAAAGAAGAATAATTTCAGGAAATAGTATTTCTTTTTTTTGGTACTGAGGATCAAACTCGGGACCTTGCTCTTGTGAGGCAGGCGGCAGCACCACTGAGCTAAATCCCTGGCCCAGGAAATAGTATTTCTCACTAGTGTGAGTTTCAAAAACAGGCAAGAGGAAATTATATAAGAAATAATACACACAAATAGTTTTCTTAAGCCAAATCAAAAAGCGAATCTTTTTATATAGTAGATTGAAAAGATTCACCAAACAGGGTGAAAGGAACTGTTAACCTACATGTATCATTGTATGTATGAAAGAAGTCAGGTCATCTACAAAGAAAGGAAAATTAGGCTGTCATCAGACTTCTCATTAGCAACAATTCCCAGAATGGGGCCTTTCTAAACATTCTGACTCAACAGCTTTCATAGGCCACATCTGATACCTGTGCCCTGAACATAGCTGAGCAAATTCAAGTGTCCATCTTTTTTTTTTTTTTCCCCCCATTAACTTTATTGGTACATTTTAGGTATAAAATACAGTTACATTCATCATTGAGATCGTGTACCTTTACATGAGTCTCTTGGTTCTTATTTTTTTTCCCCTTCCCCTGCCCTCCCTTCACCCCCTCCACCCTTCCCTATTTGCAAAGACTTTG